GTGTGTGTGTGTGTGTGTGTGTGTGTGTGTGTGCTATATTTATCTAAAATAATGACAGATTTGATTTATGTAATCTAATGCAAAGATATTTCGTGATTTTTAAGTATGGCTCAAGTATGAATATGACATTGCTAATGATTTAACATCATAATCATAATGATTTAACATGCAAGACGACATTACTCAACAAAGTCCAAACGCAACAAAATAACTTAATTTTAATTTAAGAGAACATGTTATAATAACACGTTAATAACATAAATGTACAATATTGTTTACCAATTTATCTGCTAGCTAAATCTACTGATATGAACAAAGACTGAATTTCATATACTCACAGCGTGCTTTGTACGCCATTGGTGTTTGCTTGACTGAGTACTTGTGTTAATGCTTTAGGACGCAACATAATTTAAAGGAAAACGGCAATAATATTAATACATGTTTAAATTTTAGCAAAAATTATAGCAAGAACTTCCAGCAGCCCAACAAGAACATCAGCTGACTTCTAAGTTCCGCGCTGATGATTCATGGGAAACGTAGTGTCATGGCAGTGCTTGCGAACTACAAAACGTGGCCTACATCACAACTGAACGTAACATGGATGATTTATTTATGTTTTTCGGGTCATTCATAAAACAAAAGAAGGGTTATTTTTTGTTGGCTAAGAAATTAAAAGGTTGTCATTTAAATTTTGAGGCGCAAACAAAACTTTTTTTTTCCACCTTTTATACTGGAGATTTATAAATGCGTTATAAAATCACAAATAATGGCAGTACTCGAGCGGTATCGGGTCGATAGCGCCTTCTAAGCACGCTTTAACTGTTAATTTATTTTTTAACCAAGTTCAAGTGTCTATAACTGTATGTAAAAACAAATAATTATGTAAAAACAAAAAATAGTTTCGGGACTTCACAACCTTTTTGTTTCGACTCTCTTTTGGAAGAGGAGTGCAACAACCTTTAAGTTAAGAAAGCCCTTTGTTAGGGTATTATCACTGAGGAATATCTTAACTTAAATCTTCCACTGGTTCACCCTCATAACTCACAACCTGTTTACAATATACTGTACATATGCACTCTTGAATATAAATATCCTTTATTGGCTTCAATGGTTCCATGAAGAACCTTTAACATCCATAGAACCTTTCCAATGTAAAAGGTTATGTTTTAAAAAAGATTTATTGATATATTCTTTACATTTAAAAAGTCTCTTTTTATTGCTCATTGAAAGGTTCGAGGAACCTAAAATGGTTCTTCTACATCTGGCTTCACCCTTTGGAACCTTGATTTTCAAATTTTGACCAATTAAGTTTTTTTTTGTTGTTGTTTTTTTAAGAATCTTACAAAAAAAAATTGTTTATTGTAATTGCACCCACAAAAAGCAAATTTTACAGCCGAGCATAATAAACTCAAACTTCACTACAGGATTCACCACGTTTCCAATCCTGGAAATCACAATTTAAAAATTTCTGGTTTTCAATTTTCATATTGTGTGCTTAAGTACATGAACATGAAATTATATTTACAAAAGTTAAGGTATCTAGCTAAAGCAATCATAACGTCTAAAGCTTTGTGATTGTGGAATTAAATGGTTACGTAATGTATCAACAAGAACAAATGACTTGTGTGTGTGACCTCCAAATTAATTAGACAATAATTAAAAATGTTGCGGTTAATATGATCATGCAATACTTCATAAACTATTACAAAATGTAAATTGCATGGTGTCATGTAGCCCAACATTGCAAAGATCAAAAAACATTAGATTTAAGACAAAATCAGAAGTTAGAAGGAACTGCAAACCCCAATGAATATAGGTTTCTGTAATGTATTTCAAGTTGAATAAAGAGTGGACGTTATGGACGTGCAGCAAAAAAAAAAGTTCAACATTTTAAATTCACAATAAAACTCTGTTATTTCCAGTAGAAGGCTGTTGGTTAGTACTGAGAAGCTAGCATCAATATCACGCTCTAACCCGTTGTTTTTTTGTTTTGTTTTTTTGCCAGATCAACTTGATGATGATGTATCCAGTATACAATACAAGTGTGATCCAGGCACTATGTCAAAACATAAAGATATGATCAAAACAAATGGTGTCTACGTTCGCCACTGCTTGTTAAGCTGAGAAATATTTTATTGATGCTTTGTTACAACCTTACCCATATGACAAGCCTTTACGGTCAATGTACATTCCTCACAAAGGGAAACGACTAAAGAGATGACTGAATATCTTTTCCAAATCTCATCTCCAAAACTCATTCCTTTCTAAAATAGCGGAAGTGTAAGCGATCAGAGTCAAGGTGTTATAGTGCTCCAATATGTTCATGTCTATTAGATTTTGATTAACACATCAAAATGTCAAGGAACGCTCAAATCAATGTCAACTGAGGAGGGCGGAAAGGGAGTAAAGGGTAAGCTCTACGTTTCTGCAATAAATACTGGTTTGATCAGGCATGAATTAGGAAAAACATGGAGAAATTAAGGAAACCAAGCATTTTCACAGAAGACAAGAATCCCTCTGGGCCTCCGAAATCAAGCGTATGGATTTTATTCCCCTAACCACCGAGTAGTGCCTCGGGTGAATGTGTTCTAATTGTAAGTAATGGTAACTTAAACTTGGTTCAGCAATTGTAAGCTTTGTCCCGTCTTACTAGTGATGGGGGTTAGTGTGACATCATTACACAGCGATTCTGCTTTGTTTGGGTTTTTTTTGTTCAAAGAAACCAATTTGAAACCCTCATTGCTGTTGATTCAGAGATCGACTGATTGAAGCATCAAAAAAAAAAACACGATTAGAGTAATTGGAATTCTGTCTATATAGGGCTTGTCAGATTTTATGTGATGAGGACTATGTTTGCTTCTTGTCTCCCTTCGCACGCTCTCTGTTGATGGAATTAGGAAGGCTGAGAGCCGAGCAGTCTTTCGATGGCGGCGTTGATGTCGCCCCCGGTGGCGATGAGGGCCTGAAGGTTGGCTTCCCCGTTGATGAAGCCCATGGCACTCAGCTGCTCCAGCTGTTGCTGGAAACGCACTTCCGGAGTCGGAGTCTGCAAAGCAAGGTGAAAAGAAGTGAGCACAATCAAATATACACAACATACTCAGTATTTCCCACAAGATTTGGTGATACACCTTCTAGAAGAAAATGTTGCACATTTTAAAGTCTGCTCCAGCCCATTTTCATTGTCTAACCTGACCGGAGTTAAAAAAGTCTCTGCATACCTGGACTCCAAACCTCTTTTTAGTTGTGATAGTGTCTCAGTCACACTGGTTTTTAGGAAGTTAAACAATTATAATATAATTATTATATTCTGATAGTTTTCTTAGTAGTAGTAGTGGAAATCTGAGTATTATATACATACGTCTGTAAATATATTATTACTGTATTACAACTGCACTGTAAAATAAACAGAAGTGAAAAATGAATATTTTGTAATGAGCATATTTTACTTTCCAACAGGGAAAATTACAACACTTTTGTCTTAATTTCTTCACTTGCAATAGTGAAACCCTTGAGCTGTTATCTTGGAGGAAACCTGCTGTTTCAGTGAAAACAGGTTCACAAATGAGTCTCATTACAAATCTGGTGAAATGCTGTAATAACCTGTCCACAAAAATGTTAAAAATGTGGATCACAAGCTGATCGTGAGCAAACTGCGCGCCTCGCTTTGAAACACTTCCTTTTGCAATTTCGTAAGGGCACTACGACATATTGTGCATTCGATTTCAGTTCACTTGACAGATTCTTTGCCAAATGAATGGCACAAAACACAAGACAGTTTATGTTATTATGAGAACTTCAAAATATTTTTGTTTCATTATGACGGGACAGATTAGATTTTGGCCCGTCAGCAGAATATAGGTAATTAATGGGAAATACTAATAATGTTATTAACAACAACAACAAAAAAAAACTTAAGTACCGATGCATTCCCTCCAGCAAACATCTGTAGCATCTGTTGCATGAGCTGCTGCTGGGCGGTGTTTGTTCCAGCAGCGGGGGTGGGGGCCGGGGCGGGGCCCTGGCCTGAGGGCGGAGGGTTCTCAGGAGTCACATTCACCCCTGTGGGCAGTGGGGCACCAGGGATACCAGCAGCCATCCCACCAGGTATCAGACTAGAAAGAGACAAGACACATTTAATTGTTTAGATTATGGGACCCGTCAACTAATTTACATAACTGGAATAAAACAAACCCATTTAATAGGCAAGCATGTGAGCTCTAATCTAGAGGAAGCTGCATTTACTTGACGACAAAGCCAAGAGGGAGATAACTAGTAGAAAGAGGATGTGTTCTTAAGGGTTTCTCACTCTGTAGAGAACGAAGTAGCTAAGCAATATAAAACTCACAATATACTCTCAAAATTTCAAATGCTTAAAATACTTCTATTTCAATAAATCAACTTAAAATTCTTATTCAGTGCTGCTTAATATTTTTGTGGAAAATTATGTATTACCATTTATAAGTGTGAAAAAAAAAGAAAGAAAAATACATGTTTCAAAACAAAAAAAGATTTCATAAAATGCTATTCTTTTTAACTTTCTATTAATTAAAGAAACAAAAAAAGTATCATAGTTGCAGCAAAAACATTACACAGCACAACTATTTTCAACATTGATAATTATAAAAAAAATGTTAAGAATGATTTCTGAAGAATCATTTAAGCCTGGTTGTAACATCACATGAATAAATTACATTTTAAATACATTTATAATAATAATAATAATAATAATAATAATAATAATATTTCACACTATTTACTGTTTATTCTGTATTATTGATCAAATACATGGAGCCTTGGTGAGCATAAGAGACTACTTTAAAAAAATATATATTTTGTGTGTATAAATAAAAACAAAAGTCCTATCCATTTGCCCTGCATGTTTCTATAGTGGTTGACAAATGGAACTGCACCTGGGCATGAGACCAGGGGCTTCGGTTTGAAGGGTTTGCAGTCCCTCCTGGATCTGCATTAGGGCTCGCATGGCTCGATGATTTGTCATGACAGAAAGGGATTCTGGGTTCTGCATCTGCAAGAGAGTCAGAAAAACAAGTCAGTTAGCAAATAAAAGCAAACGAAACCTATAACCCATTGACATAATATACAATTCCAACTGAACACACCTGCTGTAGAAATACAGGTAACTGCTGTCTCATTTGCTCCTGCAGCTGTGGATTTCCGGCAAAGAGAGGGTTGTTCATAAATACCTGAAATAATGTTTAGATTTTAGAACATATTAATAACAGATCATCATAGTAAATTAAATCTTCTATGAATTATGAACTTTTGGGAATGATGGTCTTGCAACCTGTGAGGCAATATCAGGATTCTGGGACAGTGACTGCATCATGGTGCGCATATAAGGAGCAGAAAGCATGTTCTGCATTAGCTGAGGGTTCTCAGAGATCTGTTGCATTAGGCTCTGCATGCCAGGACTGTTGAACATACCTAAAAGCAAACCACAAAAAAAAATAGTAAAATAGTAAAATAAATAAATAAATAGTTTAACATAAAATCAATTAGAGATACGAAGTAATTGTACAATGAGATGTAAACCCTTTTATGCAGTATTTGACCAGATTTTTTTTTTTCATTATTATTATTAACAAAATAAATAATCTGTGCTCTTACATTACCTTCTTGCATATTATACTACAACATATCCTCAAAAAAACTAAACAAAACATGGTTTTAAAATTAAAGCCAAGTGTTTACATAAAAGGCCATTACCGTTTCCAAGGCTAGAGGAGCTGATGCCCAGAGGGTTGGACACACTGGGTGTGGTTGAGCTTGTGGTGGAGCTGGTGGTGCTAGCTGTCCCAGAGGTGGTGGTGGTGGCGGCGCTGTCAGGGGGACCCCAGGGATTTGGCAGTGGCTCTCGGTTTTCAGTCCTAGATGGCTGTACTCCGGAGTTATCAGTATTTCCACCCAATGCCGAGAAAGGGTTATTTCCAAACTGTTCAAAATAAGATGATGCAATATAACGCCTGTTTCACACTGCAAGCTTGAGCTTCGTGTCAGCTTCACATCAGCGGCTACAAAGCTACATATTACTTTACAAATGACAACTATACATTTGTTTTTAGAAGTTGGTCAGTTATAAACTTGAAAGTTTTAAAATCTTGAAAGTTGGTTAGCATGGGGATTCGCATAGTAAACAACAAAAACAGATGTTTCAGTCATACTTCGATATGGAACATGCTGTTTTGAATGCGTTTTTTTTTTTATAATACACCATACTTCAACCCAAACTGAAATTAAAATCAAGTTTAAATGGGTAAATCCTCTATATATATTTTTGATTCTTCATTTTGTTTTGTGACAGTCCAATTCTTGTTAAATTCTATGCATTTTTAGCACATTTTGTGTGAAATCACATTTATTTTGTCCGTCATAAGTGTGCTGTCACTTTAATTGAACGTGAGCGGTGCAGCAAAAATAGACTCTGTGCCGAATCCATCGCTTCAGCGCCGCTTATGCTTGCGGTGTGAAACCTGCCTAACACTTACTGTAAGCCATGTCAAATGAGTGTTGAGACTTGACTTTGAATTTGATCAATTCAATAATATTTTAGGTGAAAACCTTTTTATTTATTTTAATTAAAATTACATTATTTTCTAATTCAAATAAATATATTTTTTAAATCAATAAATGTATCTGACCTGTTCACGTGCAGCACTAAACATGGGCTCTTGAATATCCGTGTACATCCTCCGAAGAGCATTGTAACCCCCGGGAATACTCTCGAGGTTGCTAAGTGCCCGGTCCTGGTTACGCATCATCTCTTGCATCATGGCTGGGTTTCGTGCCAACTCCATTGTCTTAACAAGCAAAAAAAGAATGTTACTGAAAACTAATCAGTTCCTTAATGCAATGAAGCAAATGCACACCTTTTATTGGTGCAAGTTGGAATAAAGAACTTTGTGAAGACAAATATCACTCACTTTTTATTATTGCAAACAAATCAATTAGCTTGTACATTTCCATTCTGTAGTACAAGTCCAAAAACATACCTGTCTCATGAGCTCTGGGTTGTTAAGCATGTGTGAAATCTCTGGGTTGCGCTCCATTAGTTGCTGCATCTGTGGATTTGCCACTATCATCTGCCTCATCAGGTCAGGGTTGGACATCATGCTCTGCACAAGCGGGTTCTCCATGATCTGAGACAGCATCTCAGGGTTGGACATGAGCTGTCGCTGCATCTGTTGCTGAAGCTCCATGAAGTTGGCAGATCCCATCCCAAGGTTACCCAGGCCCGAGAGGTCACCAAACCCAGCTGAAAACACACAAGGAGAACCAGCGTAAAACAAAACAACCCTCTACATTGCGAGTAAATCACTCGCATATGCGACTAAATCTTACTCTGGGTGACTAAATGTCTAACATTAGCCATTGGCTAATAAATTCTTAGATTTTACACGCCAGTATGTGTGTGAGAGGTGTTCAACACAGATTTTCACTCGATAAACACGCTGACTGAGCGCTTGAGAGTTTCGCTCTCCGTCAAGCGATCTGTACTATTTGGATGTGCTCAATGGATCATGTCATGTACTCCATGGATGCGCAGTATGTAGCACGCAGCGCACCTGTATTTGACGTACCGTAAACTAGTGTGAAGGCACATGACTCGCCGTCGCTTTACTGATAGCGCTGTGTTTCTTATATCAGTCTGGCGAGTAAACAAAAAAATGTACTAGCCAATGGCGATTATATTGCCAAGGTGTGCGTAGAAGGTTGCAAAAGCAAAATAAAATTACAGAACTGTCTTACAAAGAACAAAATACTACATTAGGATTCACAGTATTTGTATTTCAAACAATTATTTGTCGAAAAGAAACTAATTTAGAAAAAAATTCAGCCAATAAACTGGACAAATACTACATGGCAAAATGTCACCACAACAATATTGTAAAATTACATTAAAAACAGACAATCACATATATATAAATAAATGTATAAATGTGTGTGTGTGTGTATACAAGTTTGAATGAATTAGGAAATAGGTACACTTTATTAGGTCATTTTTATTCGTTTTTGTTTTTTAATATTATTTATTTTATAATATTAAACTTAACCTTAAATATTTCAGTTTTAGTTTCAGTCATTTTAATTCTTCAGTACTTATTTCAGTTAGCTGCCAAGGCAACATTTATTTTCTATTAGGTTTAAGTTTAAGCTTTTCGTCTAATATTTGTATTTTATTTTAATTCAACTAACAAAAACAATGTTGATAATTGCAGTTAACTATAACAGCACTGGTTGCAACAAAAAACACCAACAATATTATTAAATTAAATTTAAAAGAGACAACGGGTTGACATCTAATATAAACAAACTTAAAAACATTACTCACCTAGTATATTGGGTGGCTGTGTCGGGGTTGGGGACGGCCCACTACCCTCGGGAGTGCCCAGGTTGCTGGCTGGGCTGGGGTCAGCGGTTTCAGCTGTGTTACCCTGTGATGGTCCAGGGCCAGAAGAAGCAGAGGTCTGCGAACTACCACTTGAACTCCTAAAAGGACAAAACACTTTAAATGTGAGCCATCCATAATGCGCAGGCATTATCCTACAACAAATTATGGCTTTGCATATGAAAATACCAGTTGTGTTTTGACCCTAAAAGCAGGTCATCTTACTTTTGTGCGGTTTTGATAACCAGGTGAACCGTGAGTCCGTCTTTAATGCCATGCTGGCCGAGCGTGTCTCCATCCTTCAGGATCTTACCGGCAAAAATCAGAACCAACTGGTCCTGCTTCGCCTTAAATCTTTTGGAGATTTCCTCTTTAAACTGTTATGATGACAAAAAACATGCGGTTATGATGTTATACGTGAAATCAGATCAATAAAACCTCACTTTTGTGCAACATCACGGTCTCTTTTATTAAAACCGATCTCGTAAACATCAACATTAACCAGCAACTGGTCAAATGAACTGGCATAAACACTGCTAGCATCACCATTACAGGAAAAGCTACCTATCATGTTATTTAATTTATCCATATATTCGTGAAGTCAACAATACAAAGCAAAACAGAAAGAGCGCGACCAAAGATGACAGACTAGAACCTTCTGCCTGAGCAGGCCGTTTCTTTAACGACAGCGGCTAGTTAGAAAGCCTTACTTCACAGGCATTTTGAAAGACCAAAAACTTTTAAGAAGATACTCAAAATAACCTAATTTAAGCAATAGCAAAAGTGGAAGTCATTCTAAATATCCCCTGCGACGATTTTCGGTTTTGGACTGTTCGTCGTCAATCGTTAGCTCTCCGGCTAAAGCTGTTAGCCGCTGGTGTAACGAACGCCCGGGTGATACAAACAACAAGAAACCGCCAAAAAATTACCTGTGCGACAGATGAGTCCTCAGCGATGGCTATTTCTTCTTTATCCTTCGGCGTTTTGACGGTGACCTTAATGATAGTCGCGCTAGCGGCGGCATTTTCCTCAATGTTAGTCTCCACGGCAGGATCCGTGCCGCTATTCTCCGCCATCTTTACTCTTCTTTTACTTCATTACATCATCGAACCAACAATCAGCGGGGAAAAGTGCTGCAAACGCCGATTGTTCCACAGCGCCCTCTGGTGGCGTGGAGTGTCATCGACTTCACTACACATGCAGCTCTCACTGTATGAAATGACTCAAAGTTCGCGGTTATTGGCACCTTATATAAACCATCCAGAAAAACGTCTGTGTGTATTTTGTAAGCCATTTAATTTCAAATGGTTTTTTTTGGCATCTCTTGGCATTAGCTGCATCACTATTGTGTGATGGGGTCAATCCGACCCAAACTCGATTTTCAAACTGCTCAAAATACTGGTTAAACTATTTGTTTCTTCTTGAATGTTTGTGAATAGTTCTCATTTAGGGTCATTTATGTGCATGCAAAGTTTTGACACATAGATGTGTTTTAGAAAGTCTGTACAAATTTTGTTACGACTTTTGTGTTGGGGTCAAATTGACTCCCCCATTGACCCTTATTGGTTTCCTTGCTATTTGCAGCAAAAAAAAACTTTGAAAAAGTCAGGTAAAAAACAGAAAACATTTCTTGTAGCTTTTGAACTACATGAGAACAATCTTATCCTTACAAGGGATTGAGAAACAGACATAAAAATGCAGAGGAAATACAAATAGGAATAAACGCTTATACTAAGTACAAATTATGTTAGACGGTATTTATACTTGTAGTTATTTACACCTCACTGTGTAAATAGCGACTACAAGTACTCATGACTTATCTTGAATCATGACTTATAAATAAAAACAGGATGCATTTGACTCCAAAATACATGCAGTAGCTTCTTCATAGCCAAATGAATTGCTGTGTAGAAGTGTATATTTAAAGGGGTCATATGATGTTGCTAAAAATAACATTATTTTGTGTATTTGGTGTAATGAAATGTGTTTATGTGGTTTAAGGTTCAAAAAACACATTATTTTCCACATACTGTACATTATTGTTTCTCCTCTATGCCCCGCCTTTCTGAAACGCGTCGATTTTTACAAAGCTCATCGGTCTGAAAAGTGAGGTGTGCTGTGATTGGCCAGCTATCCAGTGCGTTGTGATTGGCCGAATTCCTCAAGCGTGTGACGGAAATGTTATGTCTCTTACCATATTGTGATGCCTGCGGTGACCACATGTGACGACCCCGGGCTGGACTCCACTTCGTCCACGGTGAAAACCGATACGGCGATCCACAGCACAGTTCCTCAGCGACCAGCACGGATCAGCTCTAGGCATGACGAAGCGATATCATCCTCTTTTGGAAGACCAAACAAAGTAGTTTTGCTTTCACAACGAAGCACACAGAGCCTTCACGACGTGGCAGCGGCGGCAACAATACTACAGCGAGAATAAAAGTTACGCCTTCTTTCTTTGCGTGAACATTTGGGCGGCATTATGCAAATCTTCCCACATCGTGACGTAGATATGTGGGGGCGTGTTAGAACGAGCCGTTTTAGGAGCGCGTGACTGACTCTTAAATTTTATAAAGAATATCTCTTTGGATTTGAGACTTTAGTCTTTGCAACTTTACAGATCTTCTTTATGCACCAAGAGCTTGTAACACTTCAAAGAGAAAGGAAAAATTTAAATCGCATCATATGACCCCTTTAAGCTATTTTGATCACTTAAAAACATTACATGTACTGTAGGCCTATATGAACTCAGTCTCGCTCTATACTGTAATACCAATCTAGATGGCGCTGTTTACATGCCTAATCAATCATTTACAGAATCTACATTTTAGATTCACCCTGAAACCTTTTAAAATCTTGCTTTCATATGATTTTAAACATTGTGGAGTGAAGGAAAGTAACATTGGTTGTTATTATTAACAACTTACATCTTCAGTTTCTAAACGGTGAATCAAGTCATGGACAACTTTCCTGTTACACTTGTTTACAGTTTATGAGGAAGTCACTGCCGGGAAAAATCTAAACTCCGCCTTTAAAAAAACCCAGAGAGTTACTCATCTGCCCTGAGACTCAGAGACGTGCTGCACAAGTTGAGTTTAAGGTAACACAGTGTTTCTTAAGATTATTAACAATAATATAATAAACTTAAAATAAAAAGACAAGAATGTTAAAGATGTGGTTAAACATCCTGCACCACAACTTCCATATAGAAATTATAATAACGCAGGTGGATTTTCGCGCGGACAATTTCCTCCAAAATAGGCGACAAAACTTAAGTCAGTCAGCAATGCTGTTTTGAAAATCATGTATATTTATACTGTGGAGAATATTTAATTTAGGCTACATTCTTTTTTTAATTATTTGAGTTCATTAAAAGTGTTAAAGTGGTGTCTATCTCTCTCGCTCTCTCTCTCTCTCTCCTGATATAATTAATGAATATACTGATTCTCCTGAAATGGTAATTTGCTCTTCTTCTTGTTTCATACAGAAGGATTGGCCATTGTTACCTACCGAATCTGTTCGTCTGCAGCATGCCTCTGACAGTGTCTCAAGGTGAGGGTTTGACGGTCCTCACTGTCAGCTCAAACCCGAAGAGCAAATGGCCCGTACTGTGTCAGATTCTGGGTTTTCTGTGCTACAGTCCAGTCTGTTCTGTATCCCAAGACATCAAAAAAGGGGAACTGAAGGTCGTCCACACAGGTTTTGGAGTGAGTCTGACACTTGATATGTTCAGGTCTTGTGATTTTAGGATACTTTGGGTAGATTTTTGGATAGAACTTTAAAAAACATTCCATGAAAGATGCAGAAATTTTGCATTACAGTGTTACAATTTGGTTAGAGTTAGATTATGTTAGTACACAATGTATTAAAAACATTTTTTAAAACACCTATATGTTATGAAACCACAGAGCCCCTGCCTCAAGGGACACGGTGTTGGGAAAATGGGAAAATGTAATCACAACTTTTCTCTCACAATTCAGTTTTTTTTTTCTCTCAGCTCATATCTCACATTTAAAAAGTAAGTTAAAATGTCACAATTACCTTTTTATTTTGTCAACTACTTAATGCCAGATATAACCCCCACAATTCTGAGAAGAAAAGTCAGAATTGTGAGATATAAACTTGCAATTGTGAGAAAGCCAGAAAAGAGTTTATATCTCACAATTCTGTTTTTTTTTCTCAAAATTGTGAGATATACGCTTAAAAATGCAAGAAAAAAGTCGAATTGTGAGATAAAAAGTGACCTTTTTTATTTTTCCATTCCATGGGGGAAATGGGCTTTTTTTGTGATGGAAAGATGATCTGAGAGGAAAAAACTATATTTCAGTGCTTTTGTGAGTGAGCACAAAGTTTCTTGGGTGAACGCAATACTTTTATGAGAGAATTCAAAATTACTGAAATATAATTTTTCCTCCCATCTCTTCCCCCCCCAATAAATGTCCCTTAGGGTCTCGAAAACATACGAAAACATGTTGTGCTTTAAAAGATGTCTAATGCAAATTTATTTAGGCTATGCAACCATATGTAATTTATTCAAACAATATTAAACATTTTGGAAACGTTGTGAAAATACTTATTTATAACATTAAAAAATGTTTGCCTCACCACACTGAAAGCAAACATTTGATTTGTTGACTTACAGAGTCATTGTGCCAACTTGGTATATTCTTAACAATACTGTTCTCTTGTTCCATAGATTGTGCAGATGTTAATTGGTGTCCTCAATATTGCGGTGGGGATTGTGTTTACATGCGTCGGGTTGTACTATAACATGTATAGAATAGCCCAGGGACCCTTTTGGCTCGGTAGTGTGGTAAGACTCATTTTGATCATTTTTATGTTTCTAAATCAATTAATGGTGTGAATCAATTAATGTCAATAAATGTATGTGATTTTCTTTTTCTTTTGCTTATTATAGTTCCTTGTTGCTGGAATCGTGTGTATTCTTGCAGCTAGGTTTCCCAATTTTGGTCTGGTAAGTGTCTATCAAAGGCATTTGTGTTTTTGACAAGTCCAGTTTTGCAAGTCTTATATATATTGTTTGTTATTTTCAGGTGATAATCGGGATGGTTTTGCACATAGTTAGTGCTGCACTGGCTATCACTGCTGTTGTGCTGTATTCAGTGGACCTTGCAAATGATCATACTGACTACTGTGAAACCTACAATTCTTATTATTCAAGTTATGATAATGGTTATGGTTATGGTTATAGAACGCCTTCCCCTGAAATGAGTAGGAGAAATGACATCTGTCTGTACTACAGGAACCTCATTGAGGTAATGATTACCTTTCTTTTCTTTAGATGGTGTAAGACTAGATACTGCACATCTTCTAAAAATACTCACAGTATAAGGAATATTTTTTTTACAAAAACTATAAAAATTGTCCAAATGTGCTTTTATTCCAAGTCTTCCTAATGGGATAGGGAAAACATGAAGGGGGGCTGTTGTGTTTTATTGATAAATGTCTTACAGACTTGATTTTCCTTTTAATAAACTGACATTCTGATCTTTACTCACCTGTAGATGATCTTCAGAGGACTAGATATCATGATGATAGTGCTGTCTGTCCTTCAGCTCTGTGTGACCATCAGTTTCTGTGTTTTGACTGGAAAAGCTTTGTGCAAGAAGGATGAAGAAGCAAAGGTACTGAATCAGCAGCACTATTACAACAATCAATCAGTCAGATCCACTGATCGTGAGAGTTTCAGAGAGCTGCTCTGTGTGTTCATGATTGTTTGTGGTTTTGCAGTCTGTGGAGGACCCAGACCTTCACAAGCCGCTCCTGGAAGACGCCACTGCTGGTGCTGCATGACAAGATAAACACACAAAACAATCAAAGTTGCTCCTTGTGCTTGTAATGCAATGACATTTTGTCTCTCAATATTGTAGTGAAAAGATTTAAAGCAAATCTCATGCACCCCGCAACACTTTTAAATTACACATTTAATTACACTTATTTTTTTCTTTTACAAAAGTGGTGTTACCTCTCTCTCTATGTAAAGATTATTACTATTATTTCAGTTTTGCTGTGATCTTTGGGGCTGCTTTTTTTAAATAAATGACTGGAGCACTTGATATCAACCCTTTTCATGTTTTCGTTTTTACAGCTTCTCTACTGAATCTTCCTCTGTACAATGAAAATAAAAAATAAAAGAAATTAAAAATTAATAAATATATTTATTTAGCAAACATTTTTATATAAAGCAGTCGTTTGCAAACTTTTCAGGCCAAGTGCCACCTTCATTTATATCAAAGCAACGAAGTTGGATCATGATTCATTTATGGTTTATGATATTCTCTGTCCAGCCTTGCTGTTGAGCATAAAATGAGCCATATTTCTATCAACTAAAATGTTTCTAAACAGGAACGTTTACTTTTTTTTTTATAGCAGATTAAATTTCTTACACTCCAATCAAAAGTCCAGAAATTCACCAAAAAGCAGAAGGAAAAAATAGTTATTGAGAAATTAAATACTACATATTGCTTAGTACACTAATCCTCACAATTCAACCAACTAGACTGTGCCATTTTACTTTTTGTATTTGATGCATCAGTAAGTAAGGCAAGGCGAGTCAATTTATATAAATATTATACAAAGTGCTTTACAGAAAAATGAATTAGGAAAAACAGTAATCATAAAAAGGTAAATAAAAAAAATACAAATAAAATTAACTATTTTTTCAATTCAATTCAACTTAAAAACTGAAGACAAGAATACATATGTTGTAGATGTGAGATCTTTTTATGCTGTATTGTGGCTTAATATTTTGATCATATCAACAGTGTTTATTATGTCTTCAGTTACATCCTGACTATAGACTCAGGTTCTTTAAATTTCAAAATAAACAAAAAGGAAACATGAGATTCACTGACAGAGACAAAAACAGCTCCACCTTCAACAGATCAGGATCAGATCAGAGTCAACCTTCAGTCCGCACTCTAACTTACATACAGTCAATTACTCATAAGGTGAGTTTACTGTGTTTCTTAAGATCTTGTTTGTGAAGGGGAGCAAATGTTGAGTGGGACTTGAATCTCAACTTCATTTTTAGCAAGCACACACATTGATCTTCACTTCTTACGGAAAAGTTGATGCATGAGACAACTACAGTCAGCAATGCTGTTTAATCACGCATGTTCTAGAACTTGTTTGTGAAGGGAAACAAAATGTTAGGAATTTACATAACTCATTTGGGCCATTATGATTTTCTGATGCATGAGCCTGTTTCTCTTGTCTTTATCTTGTGGGAAGGTTGAAGTCCATCCCTCCCGGCAGCATGTCTCTGACAGTGTCTCAGGGCGAGGGAATGATGGTCATCACCATCAACTCAAACCCGAAGAGCAAATAGCACGTACTGTGTCAGATTCTGGGCTCTCTGTGCTGCAGTGCAGTGTCTTTCTGCATCTCAGGGTATGAAAGCGAAGCTGAAGAAAATCTACACAGCTCTTGGAGTGAGTCTGACACATGCAAGTGTACTTGTAGACTACTTTGGATAGATTCAACTCTCAAAAAAATACATAAGATTTAAGATGATTTCAAATGTTTTACAAAATTGCAGTTTGGCTGAAATCATGTTCCAGGAGGATTTCCGCATGGACAAAACCTGCAAAACCATTTCAAAAACATGACATGCTGTTAGTGCATTTGTAAATTATTAGTCGAAATCTGAAACTCTTAGAAATGTTACAACCAAATTAAATGTAATCAAACAATATAAAACATTGCGGAAATGTTGTTCAAATACATATAACACTTAAAAATATAACTTTGATCAGTTGACTTACAATGTCATTGTGTTAGCTGGGTTTAGTCTTAATTTTATATATTTATATTTTCTGTCAGTTTTTTTTTTTTTTTTTCAGATTCCTGGAGTAACTAATACTGTTCTCTTGCTCCAGATTTATTCCTCAAGTCAAGTTTCCCCATTCTTGTCTGGTAAGTGTCTGTCAAAGCCATATCTTACATTATATTTGTGGTTTTGACAGTTCATGGTGCACATTTTTAATATACTTTTTGTGTTTTACAGCTGATCATCACAATGATTCTGAACATATTCAGTGCGGCATTGGCTTTTATAGCTGTTATGCTGTATTTAATGAACCTGCCAATGGTAAATAGTCAAAACTGCAGCATCAGCTACAATTATTATTCATGATATGATTACAGTGAGTCTCCTTCCCCCAATAGAAAAACAGAAGGTAAACCTGTCTGTACTACAAGCATCTCGGTGAGGTAATGATTTTGTGTTAGGCAAACTATATCAAATTTTCCTCACAGTTTACTTTACAGTTAAAGGGATAGTTTCCATTTAAAAAAATTAATTCTGTCATACTCACCTCTGCCGGTCCTTCAGCTCTGTGTGACCATCAGTTTCTGTGTGTGGACTGGAAAAGCTTTGTGCAAGAAGGATGAAGAAGCAAAGGTACTGAATCAGCAGCACCATTACAACAATCAATCAGTCAGATCCACTGATCGTGAGAGTTTCAGAGAGCTGCTCTGTGCATTTGTTTGTGGTTTTGTAGTCAGTGGAGGATCCAGAACTTCACAAGCCACTCTTGAAGATGCAAATGTTGGTCTAGGACGCTAGAGAGACAAGATAAACACACAAAAAAAATGTATTTTATTTGAACATCTCATCATGGTTTTTGTATGCGATTTAAAGCAGATCTGCTCCATCTGCAACACTGAAGTAATTAAACTACATGATTAACACTTATTTCCAGTGTTACTGCTCTATGGGTGTTACCTTTCATTAACCTTTAATTCCAAGCTTTGTTGGGGCTGCTTTTGTTTTAAATAAATGAGTAGATCACTTTGGCATCAACCTTTTTTGTGTTTTATTCATGTGTTAGGTTCTCACTACTACATCTGTAGAACATTTAAAAAAAAATATTTATTAATATAGCAAATCGTTTTTATCGAAAGCAGTGCTTCACAAACTTTTCAGACCAAGTACCATCTTTAATCAGAGTAAACAAGTACCACCTCAGTGGGGGCGTGAATGTGAGATTATGTTCAAATAGTTTAATGGCATTGTTACAGTTGAAAAAGTATTGAAATAAAAATAATGAATTAACTCTTTACCTTAAGATTTATTTTCAAAGAAAATTTGATCTTGTGATATGACCCCTTTAAAGATTGTGTCATATTGTCTACTGAAGCAGGAATTTGGGGAATAGATACAGTCAACAACAATAAAAATCACAACAGCCATTAAGAATAGAAAATAAATGCATATTTTATAAACTAAACTTGTTCTCATTTCTTATGTTACAGGGAAACCACAGAACACTCAACCAAAAGTCCAAAAATGTGTTTAAAAAAACAGATATTGATAAATTAACCATTACAGAAAGTAAGCCTTTGTCATCGATCATTTTCTGAAAACAACACAAGCGTATGTGGCTTCATTGACAATTGCACCGCAACATCACTACTTTAAAATGAACTTCCTATGCTGCACTGTGACTTAATATTTGATCATATCAACAGTGTTTATTATGTCTTCAGTTACATCCTGACTATAGACCCGGGTTCTTTAAATTTCAAGAGGAACAAAAAGGAAACATGAGATTCACTGACAGGGACAAAAACAGCTCCACCTTCAACAGATCAGGATCAGATCAGAGTCAACCTTCAGTCTGCATTCTAACTTACAGTCAGTTACTCATAAGGTGAGTCTGAGTTTACTGTGTTTCTTAAGATCTGTAAAATGCACATGCTATTAAAAAAGTAAAAACATTCTATAAGGTAAACTGTGACTTGAATCTCAACAACTTATTTTTAGCAAACACACACGTCGATGTTCACTTCTTAAAGAAATCTTGGTGCACTCGATGAGAAAACTAGTAATGCTGTTTAATAATAATGCATGTTTGTGAAGGAGAACGAAATGGATTTTCCGGTGTATGAGTTTTTTTGTGGGAAGGTTGAAGTTAATCTGTTCTTCTGCAGCATGTCTCTGACAATGTCTCATGATGAGGATTTGACCGTCATCTCAAACCCAAAGAGCAAATGGCCAGTACTCTGTCAGATTCTGGGTTTTCTGTGCTCCAGTCCGATGTGTTCTGTATCCCAGTATATGAAAGGGAAGCTGACGCACATCCACACAGCTCTTGGAGTGAGTCAGACACATTAATTGCAAAATACCTTTTTGATATTTTCAGGCCTTCTGATTTTAGAATACTTTAGACAGATTTTATTTGAACATTAAAAAAGATAATATTTCACAATTAGGTTATGATGCAGTGCAATGTATTAAAATGTTTTTAAAACACTTAAATGTACCGAAAACATGACATTCAATTTATGTATTTGGATCCTAAAAAGTTATTAGAACTAAGCTGCAACTTTTAGTTCCAGTTTTTAGTTGCAAATGTTAATACAACCAAATTAAATTTATACAAACAATGTCATATAAAATGAACACTTTAAATGGCCACAACAATGAAAATGTTCAGTTGTTTGACTAAAATAAAATATTTTGTAAACGTAGCAAAAAAAAAAAAAAAGTATCTCAAGCTGTCAGGACTTACAATGTCATTGCAGTAGCTGTGTACATTCTTAATTTTATATCTTGGAAGTTTTTCAGATTCCTGACAGCTGGTGGCATCACTATATTTTTCTCTTGTTTCATAGATTGTGCAAATTATTATTAGTGTCATCAATATTGCGGCGGAGAATTTGTTCTCGTGGGTTAGGTCCTATAGTATATATACATTTTCCCATGGACCATTTTGGCTTGGTGGTGTGGTAAGACTTGGGTCTCATTTTGACCTCATTATATTTAACATTTCATTAAATTGTTTTCATAAATTTTGAAAACACAGATATGTTTCTTTGTTTTCTTTTGTCTATTAGTTCCTAGTAGTTGGAATAGTGTGCATTCTTCAGGCTATGTTTCCCAGTACTTGTCTGGTGAGTATCTATGAAAGCCATGCCTACATTATATCTGTGTTAATATGATATTTCTGGCTCTGTTTTGTTTTGTTTTAAATATTGTTTGTGTTTTATAGCTGGCCATCACAATGATTCTGAATGTAGTCAGTACTGCACTGGCTCTCACAGCTGTTGTGCTGCATTCAATGGACCTGGCCGTGGAAAATAGTACTGCAACTATATTCTGCAACTCCTATGTTTATTTTTCGCAGATTGATTACAAGGATTTGCCTTTCACAACACAGAAACAAAGGACCAAAATCTGTTTAGACAGTGTAAGACAAGCTACAACAAATATTTTGATAGTTAACTCCAAAAAAATGAAAATTACGTCATTTTTATTTAAATAAGCTGACACTCTGATCTTTACTCCTCTAGATGATGCTGGGAGGATTAGATATCATGATGATAGTGCTGTCTGTCCTTCAGCTCTGTGTGACCATCAGTTTCTGTGTTTTGACTGGAAAAGCTTTGTGCAAGAAGGATGAAGAAGCAAAGGTACTGAATCAGCAGCACTATTACAACAATCAATCAGTCAGATCCACTGATCGTGAGAGTTTCAGAGAGCTGCTCTGTGTGTTCATGATTGTTTGTGGTTTTGCAGTCTGTGGAGGACCCAGAACTTCAAAAGCCGCTCCTGGAAGACGCCACTGCTGGTGCTGCATGACAAGATGAACAAAAATAATCAGTTTGTTTTGCTTGGCATTTTGTGTCTCAATATTGTAGTGAAATGATTTAAAGAACATCTCCTTCCTTCTGCAACGCTCTACTAATTAAATGAGGGCCAGATTTACTAAACAGGGCAAATTAGCATGAGAACGCAATCGCATAAAAGCGCCGATGGGAGAGGAAAGTTCTAATCTGATAATGCGCAAATTAAAGAACACAGACGCAGTCAGTGCATTTCCATAATAATCAACACAATCTACCAAGAGCAGCACAAATTAGCAAGCAGAGCCGAGGATTTTTTTGTTGGTTTTTTTGGCATTAGATAATGACGCAAGTAGCCTAGCAGTAACCGCAACTGACTGTACTACAGGCTAGGCCAGGGGTAGGCAAGTTCGATCCTAGAGAGCCGCAGTCCTGCAGAGTTCAGCTCCAACCCTGAAAAAAAACCTCACCTGCCTATAGCCTTAGTAATCCTGAAGACATTGATTAGCTTGTTCAGGTGTGTTTGATTAGGGTTGGAGCTGAACTCTGCAGGACTGTGGCTCTCTAGGACCGAACTTGCCTACCCCTGGGATAGGCCTACTGACCACAGCAAACCTTAGTAACACCTGCATGATTAATTTGAATAGTAGACTACTCTCCTCTCATTTGCATCTAAGGAAAACTCCTACAAATGCATATGTAAAAAGTTTAGCCGCAAAAATAACTGTGTACACGCATTTTCATCGCTAATTTCGCCCCCTTAATAAATCCTGACAGTAGTTTTTTAACTCCAAAAGAGAGATTTAGCGTAAAATGTAGTAAATTTGGCCCTGGTGTTTAATTAAACTTTTTTTTCTACGAACAAAAGTGGTGTTATCATTCATTGTTTTCTATATATAGATACAGATTAGTGGATGTTATCTTTTATTACCTTTTCAATTTTGTTGCGATCTTTGTGGCCGCTTTTATATAGGCTAGGCCTAATGAGTGGAGCACTTTGGCATCAAACCTTTTTGTGTATTTTTTCTTACGACTTCCCTATTGTTTCACATACAACAATTAAAATACTTTAAAAATAGAAGATATTTTAAAAGACATAAAAGTTTTATTTTATTTGATCTTTTCTGCTCTCCCTTACGAAAAATAAGTTTATTCAAGTGTGCTATTAGTATACTTCTTTTAAACTAAAAATAGGAAAGTATACTTTTAGTCTAATTTTTATGTACTTCTTAGAAATATGTTCAGATATTCATGTAACAAAATATATACAAATTAATACCTAAATAGGGACATAGTAGTATACTTAAAGTATGATTTAAAGTTCACTTAAAGAAAACTTACGAGTATACTTGCAGTACAAAACTACTAAACTAGTAGTTTACTGAGACTATACTTCAAAGTGTACTAAAAATGCTACAAGTATTTAATGAGTAAATTATCAGTATACCTATAAGTTCACTTTTAGTATAGTTGCAGTACAAACGAAACATTTTGATGTAAACTAGTTGTGTACTCAAAGTTTACTACTGTTATACTTAAAATTATACTTTTATATACTAGAAAGTGGGCCAATTTAGTCCCAAGGAGTATTGAAATAGTACACTTACAAGTATACTACTAGTGCACTGATATTTGTATACTTACTACATAAATTATACTTAAAAATATACTTGAACTTTACTTAAGTATACTTACTAAAACGTGAAGTATACTACTTTTTGGTAAGGGCTAGCTACAATAAAGTCAACAACCTCTAACATGTTAATCTGAACCCCTCTTTTATAGATAAGAACTTCAAAATATCTTCTCTTGTCCTAAAACGTGAAGCAGATTTTTATTCATCAGTAGCTATGATTTAATAGCAGCTGAAAACCCAAAGTTACAATAGCATGCCCATTTCTAAATGGAGAAAAAAAACTCGATTTTTAAATGGAATTTTTAAAATGGAAAACATGCCTAAAATTGTTGTGTGGGATTATCCTCTTTAAATAACTTAAACCCAGGACTGGTTGGGTGGAGAAATGATACCTGAAGCTCTGGCTGCACAGTGAAGAGATCCAAAGCCTCGGAGCATCGGCAACAGCGCCATCTACTGCCTCATATGACTTACAACAGCCATCGAGCCTGGAAATGTAATGCATAGCCTATATTCATAAGTAAAATGTGCCTAAATGGAGGAACGGTTTTCTTTCTGGGAGGAAAACTTATATATGTAGCCTATGCTCTGCGTTCTGTCGCGAAACTTTTGTGTTCCCGAGATAAATGTTGTGAGACGGAAATAATTAAAAGCTGGGAGGAAAAACGATTTCAATGCTTTTTCGAGCGAACGCAAAGCTTCTTCTATTCAAAGTTCAAAGTTTTTCGGGGGAACTCAATACTTATAAACACTTACTGTATATCACCTATATTTTATATAAACAGCCTATTTTTTTTGTATATGTTTTCCTTCCATCTCGCTCTCTCTTTCTCTCTCTCAAAAGACAGAGCGAAGAAAAGACCAATCAAAAGTCCAATGAATTACCCAAAAAGTACAGTATAACCTACACTCTTCACATTTCACAATTCAACCAACCATCGGAAAACCCACCACTGCCGACGTACTTGGAAAGTTTAGACGCGCAGCGAAACGCTCACATGATTTAAAAAAGTGAAGCTGAATTCCATCATGTGATTTTTTTTTAACAGTGCGGAGCTTCATTGAAACCTGCGCTGCGTATGCTACTTGATACATATGAGCCTCTTTCATACGTTTCATTAAAATACATGTCAGATCGTCTTTAATGTCGTGGTTTAATATTTGTGAAGAGTGTGAACAGTATAGCCTACGTCTTCAATGATATCCTGTAATTCCTGTTCTTTACACTTGGGTTCTTATTACATTTCAAGTGGAACAACAAGGAAATATGAAACTAATCACTGACAGGACTCGGGGACAAAACAGCTCCACCTTCAACACATCAGGGAAGAGTTAGGCTATCTCGCAGTCTGGACAGTAAAATATACACAATTGCTCATAAGGTGAGTCTAAATAAAATTCACGTGCTATTGAAAAAGTAAGACTAACAAAGTGTGACTAGAATCGCAACCATTTGCTTTTATAGCAAACATGCGCAGGTGAATGTTCACTTCCTCTTAGGGAATCGTTTATGCAGTAGACGAGAAACCAGCAATGTTGTTTCAATAATTATGCATATTCTAGAACTTGTTTGGGAAGGGAAACAAACTTATGAATTTACATAACTAAGAAACGTTTCATTTTTGTCATTGTGATTTTCTGATGCATGAGCCCTACTTGTTTCTTTGTCTTGTGGGAAGGTTGAAGCAGCATGTCTCTGACAGTGTCTCAGGGTGAGGGAATGATGGTCATCACCGTCACCTCAAACCCAAAGAGCAGATGGCCCGTACTGTGTCAGATTCTGAGTTCTCTGTGCTATGGTCCAGTGTGTTTTGCATCTCAGGATATGGAGGAGAAGCTGACAGACACCCAGAGAGTTATTAGGGTGAGTGAGAGACTTGCACTGATTAAAATCTTGATGTCATTAAAAATAAATAAATAAAACAGATTTAAGATTCTTAGGTATGTTCCCATATATGTAGCCTACTCTTAATTTAAAAGTTTAAAAGCTGGAGGTCTATTGTTCTCTTATTCCATAGATTGTACAGATAGTAGTTGCAGTCATGAATCTTGTGTTGGGATGTTTTGGCATGATCTTCTTTTTTGTTACCACTTCGGCCAGCAGTATGGTAAGACATTCCTCATTCTGTTCATGTTTATGTTTCATCAGATCATGCAGAAAAATGAACATGTACAGTATATAGCATAAGACTGCAGCATAACAAAAATGAAGAGTTCTGAATAATTTTGCACACACACACACACACACACACATAAACATATATATAATCATATGCTGTAGTTTCATGACATATGATAGTTTTATGAAATGAATATGGGTGTGTTGAAATAAAAATTCCCCTTTACTTTCCTTATGTGCAATTCATACATTCACCCACTTATCTTTTTCTCTAGGTGTTGTCGGTTCTTCAGCTCTGTGTGGCTATCAGTTTCTGTGTTTTAACCATAAAATCTTTGTGCAAGAAGGGTGGGAGTGCAAAGGTACAGTATTGTGCTTATAATAAACAGAACATTACCACCTGCTGGTGTGAACACTGTACAGTTATCTTTATAGCTATCCTCTATTTTCTTTCTCTATAGCTATCTTTATAGCTATCTCTACTGGGATTATGACTGTTTAAGAGCTTCTCTGTGTGTTCATGTTTGTCTGTGGTTTTGCAGTTGGTGGAGAACACAACTTCAGAATCTAGAAGTGGAAAAAGCCAATATTCACTTCCGTTTGGTCACAGTTGTAGCATGACTCTTGCATTGACTCAGGTGAGGGACTGACTGTTATCACCATCACCTTAAAGTAATAGTTCACCAAAAAATGAAAAATTGCTAAAAATAAATACATATATATACTCACCTTCAGGCCATCCAAGATGTAGATGAGTTTGTTTCTTCATCAGAACAGATTTGGAGAAATGTAGCATCACCAATGGATCCTCTGCAGTGAATGGGTGCCGTCAGAATGAGAGTCAAAACAGCTGATAAAAACATAACAATAATCCACAAGTAATCCACACCACTCCAGTCTATCAATTAATGTCTTGTGAAGTGAAAAGCTGTGTGTTTGTGAGAAACAAATCCATCATTAAGTTAGTTTTTACTTAAAACTGTTGCTTAATTGTGATGTGAGAGGACAGCAGGGGGCAGATTTTTTTCACTGGAGAAAGCGTCATTATGAATTTTGGACTGGTATTTTGGTGGTATGAAGTGACGGTTTAAAGTTAAAACTTGCAGCTTTTCGCTTCCCAAGATGTTAATTGATGGACTGGAGTCGTGTGGATCACTTGTGGATTATTGTGATGTTTTTTATCAGCTGATGGAACTCATTGTTGAGCAAGTAATGTAATGCTAAATTTCTACAAATCTGATCTGTCCTGATGAAGAAACAAACTCATCTACATCTTCGATGACCTGAGGTTTTTTTTATTTATAACTTTATTTGAAAAGGGACCATGTACAATTATTTATTTTATTATTATTTTTTTTTTTCAGTTTAGTTTTGTTATTTACATTTATATTATATTTAAATTTTGTCATTTAGCAGACGCTTTTATCCAAAGCGACTTACAAATGAGGACAATAGAAGCAATCAAAACCAACAAAAGAGCAATAATATGCAAGTGCTATATTAGTATATTATTATAGTGTTATATTTCAATTTCACAAAGAAATGTGCAGCATTTTGTCCAAGCAATAATAAAAGGACACATTTAATTTATAATTTGTCTTAAAAAATCGTGAATCGAATCGTGAGTTGAGTGAATCGTTACATCCCTAGCTCATATATGTCAGATTGTACTTGATGCGATGTGTTTGTATTTTAGGATATGGAAGATAAGCTGACAGACACTCACACAGCACTTGGGGTGAGTCGGATACTTAGATCTTTTTGATATTATCAGCTTTATTAAATGGTTTATACTATGTGTTTTGTCATCTGTAAAACTGGTACAAATATTGTTCTCCTATTTCATAGACTGTACAGATAATGGTTGGTGTCATGAATATCACAATGGGTTGTTTTGGCTTCGTCTTTGCTTTTTGGATCGGCAGTGTGGTAAGAGTTGTTACGCATTCTCATCATCATTATTATGTTTCTAAATGATGAGTTCATGCAGTACAATGAGTGAGTTCATTCAAAAAGTGAATTATCTATGACATTGATCTGGCTTTGAGAATACCCTACATTCATTTCTTTATTTTTGTATTTTCAAATGCTATATGATTTATCAAAATCCTAATGAGGTGGAATAATGTGAAATCTGGTGGTTTGTATTTACACTTTCAATTTGAAGATGCATGTTTGCACGGACCAATGTTTTTATTTCTTTGCTTTGCCTTTTAGTTCCTTGTTGTTGGAGTTATGTGTGTTCTTGCAGTGATGGTTCCCCGTCCCAGGCTGGTAGGTGTGAATGAAGAGTTTTTAATTTTATTTATTTATTTTTGAGCATCAGCAATTTATATAGTGTGTGTATTTTACAGCTGGTCATCACAGTGGTTCTGAATGTAGTCAGTGCTGCACTAGCTATCACAGCTGCTGTGCTGTATTCAGTGGACCTGGCAATGGGAAGCAGTTTAAGCTGTTACAGAGAACATTATTATTATTCATCTAATAATGACCGGCTTAACCGTAAAGGGAGTAACTTTGAGTCCTGTTTTTACTACAAAAATCTCAGTCAGGTAATGATTTGATTTATTTATCTTTTTCAGTGTTATAAAAAATTATTTGTGTGTATTTTATTATTATTTAATAATACACTGATGTTTTTCCACCTCTAGATGATGCTCGGAGGACTAGATATCATGATGATAGTGCTGTCTGTCCTTCAGCTCTGTGTGACCATCAGTTTCTGTGTTTTGACTGGAAAAGCTTTGTGCAAGAAGGATGAAGAAGCAAAGGTACTGAATCCTCAGCACTATTACAACAATCAATCAGTCAGATCCACTGATCGTGAGAGTTTCAGAGAGCTGCTCTGTGTGTTCATGATTGTTTGTGGTTTTGCAGTCTGTGGAGGATCCAGAACTTCACAAGCCGCTCCTGGAAGACGCCACTGCTGGTGCTGCATGACAAGATGAACACTTACATATATATTTTGATTTTAATACATTTTCTTTGTTTTGGTAATGGAAAGTGAAATGATGCCATCTGCAACACCACAGACATGAAGGTGCATCATTTACATGTAGTCTTTTCACAAATGTTTTGTTACTTTTAAAAAGAAAAGGCCTACTCTTTTAAAAAAATTAATTACTTGAGGATAATGCATCTTGAAAATGCGATTATTTAAATAAAATAGAAAAGATGCAAATAGGTAATAATAAAATATGCCATGATGTTTTTTTGAGTATGGAAGTCTTGCCTGTTTCTTAACCGTTTCATGTATGACTGAAACATTCATCACAAGTTTATTTGTTTTTGTTAAAACTGTAATCCATAAATGGATGCAATTCAAATACATATTTTTAGGGTGTGTAATTATTTTCATTATTTTATTGACTCATGACTGTAGAACACTTATTCAGTATTCAAGAGCAAGAAAGTCCTGTTAATCTATTACTGGATGACAAACAGTTCTGCTTGTAACTACAGAAGGAACCACTACTTTGCTTTGTGACTAATTATTTTGCCACTTTTTTGTGATTCAAAGTGGTCTAAACATGCACACTCAGTACATCTGCCGAATATGCACAACGAATGTGAAAAGTGCTATACAATTTATTGAATTTAGTTTTAAATATAAAAGCTAACTAACTTAGCTAAACCTTTTCCAGCTAACCTTCACCAAATGTATAAAATGTATTGGATAAAAGCGTCTGCCAAATGAATAAATGTAAATGTAAATGTTGATAAAAGAACACTACTGAATGTTGTCTGATCATGTCCAACGACATTTTTGCCCTATAGTACTATGAAATGCTTCTTGTAAATTTGACTGCCTTCATTTTTGCATATATCAATTTGGAGAGCAGATGTGTAGTCAGTTAAGTTTTGCATTGAACATGCAGATATGGTCAAAAGTCTGGTACTGTAATACTATTGGAATATTGTTTCTTACTAACCCTAACGATTATATTGACAGTGTTCTTTGCAGATTGTAGTAATCATACAGAATGATCTATATTATATTGCTCACTCAGAATTTTCTGTCTTAATAGTGAGGTTATGCTCATTGGCTCTCCTCATTAGCTCATCAGCGTAAATCTGGTTCGCTAATGTTAAACCTGGATGACTGTTTTGGATTTTAGAACTAAACTAAAACAATTAGGAGTTATATTTGACTTTTGATCCACACGTGCAACATACCGTTAAGACTCCCTTTTTTCATCTCAGAAATATTGCTAGACTTTGCCCTATGTTATATTTTCCTGTGACTGAAAGGGTTAATAATCCTTTAGTTTTTTTCTCACTTAGACTACTGCAATGCACTTCTTGCTGGGGTCCTTAATACTTAACACACTAAATATTCTAAATACACACTTAACAAATTACAATACCGGTATATGCAAAATTCAGCAACTACAGTAGGATCCTGACTGGAGTCAGAACCAGTGTTGGGGGTAACTCATTACAAGTAATGCGAGTTACGTAGTCGGATTACTTTTTTCAAGTAACTAGTAAAGTAACGCATTACTTTTTTAATTTACAAGAAAATATCTGAGTTACTTTTTCAAAAAAGTAATGCCAGTTACTTTGTTTTCCCATTTATTGACTGACAGCTCTCCTGTCCCCATATTGGGAGAAATCGGAAGTGCAGA